GCAACGGGAGAGGCCACAACAGTGGCCTCTCCCGTTGCAGAGCACAGGCTCCTGACACACAGGCTCAGCGGCCATGGCTCACGGGCCCAGCCGCTCCGCGGCATGTGGGATCTTCCTGGACTGGGACACGAACCCATGTCCCCTGCATCGGCAGGCGGACTCTCAACCACTGTGCCACCAGGGAAGCCCCCTCTTACATTCTTGATGACAGCCATTCTAACAGGTGTGAGGTGCTATCTCATTGTAGTTTTAATTTGATGATTAGTGATGTTGAGCATCTTTTCATGTACCTGTTGGCCATTTGATGTCTTCTGAAAGTTCATTTAAAACCAAAGAAGTTCAGATTTTGTATCTATAGAGAGTGGGGGAGTAGGGAGGAAAGGGAGGGAGGGAGAGAGAGAGCTTATGCACCTGTTTTCTGTAGTTTTTATGTCATTTGAAAGATTCCTGAGGGAATTCGGTGTCACAAAGTGATAAAGTGTTTTGTATTATTTTATACAGAAGGAGCTAGACTATAGACTCACCAGTTACACACAAGTTGACACTATAGTAATTTCATTTGTGACAAATATTTATAATAAGGTTTTAGTCTTAGTTCCATTCACTGATTATTTAAAGAGATTCTGCTATTTTACTTCTAACCTAGATTATTCCTGTTTGGGAGTCATATAAAATGAGTTAACAACACACTTTACAAGCTTTTCAAGGAAGGGAAGAGGGAGAAAAGAAAGGGAATGCAGCTTATTAATACAGCAAACACTTTTTGAGAGTCTACTTTTTGCCAGAACACTAGAATCTGGGATACAAAGATGAATAAGTTAAAGTCCTTGTCCTCAAGGACTCCCAGAATACATGAAGGCAGACAAATATGTTAAGTATGCTCTAGATGCATTTTTTACAATTCCCAATTAGTGGCATTTTCACTGGCCAGTTAATAAACTATGACTTCGTTTGGTTTGAACTAGGTATGCATTAGTTTCTTTTCTTTTTTATTGAATTATAGTTGACTTAAAATATTATATTAGTGATTTGATATGTTTACAGATTACACTCCATATAAAGTTATTTAAAAATATTGGCTGTATTTCCTGTGCTGTACATTACATCCTTGTATTTTATTTATTTTTTACCTAGGATTTTGTACCTCTTAGTCCCCTTCCCCTATCCTGCCCCTTCCCTCTTCTCTCTCCCCACTGGTAACCACTAGTTTGTTCTCCATTATCTGTGAGTCTATTTCCGTTTTGTTATATTAGTTTGTTTGTTTTATTTTTTAGATTCCACAAATAAGTGAAAGCACATAATATTTGTTTTTCTCTATCTGACTTATTTCACCAAACATAATAGCCTCCAAGTCCATCCATGTTGTTGCAGATGGCAAAATTGCATTCTCTTTATGGCTGAGTAATATTCCATTGTGTGTCTGTATGTGTGTGTGTTTGTGTGTGGCACATCTTCTTTATCCATTCATGTGTTGATGGACACTTACATGACTTCCATGTCTTGGTTATTATAAATAATGCTGCTATGAACATTGGGGTGCATATATCTTTTCAAATAATGTCTTCATTTTCTACAGATATATACCCAAGAATGGAATTACTGGATCATATGGTATTTCTATTTTTAGTTTTTTGGGGAACCTCCATAGTGTTTTCCATCGTGGCTGCACCAATTTGCATTCCCACCAACAGTATACTAGGGTTCTCTTTTTTACACATTCTTGCCAACTTGCTATTTCTTGTCCTTTTGACAGTAGTCATTCTGACAGGTGTGAGGTGATAATCTCATTGAGGTTCTGGTTTGCATTTTCTTGATGATTAACATTGTTGAACATATTCTCATGTGTCTTGGCCATCTGTATGTTTTGTGTGGAAAAATGTCTATTCAGGTCCTCTGAACATTTTTAAATCTGTTTTTTTTTTTGTTGTTGTTGTTGTTGTTTTTTTTATATTGAGTTGTATGAGCTTTTTCTATATTTTGGATATTAACTCTTTATCAGATATATCATTTGCAAATATTTTCTCCCATTCATTAGGCGGCCTTTTCGTTATTTAATGCTTATTTAATGTGGCCTTTTTTTGATGCTTTCCTTCTCTCTGCATAAGCTTTTTTTTTTCTTTTTTTTTAACATCTTTATTGGAGTATAATTGCTTTACAATGTAGTGTTAATTTCTGCTGTACAACAAAGTGAATCAGTTATACGTATACATATATCCGCATATCCCCTTCCTCTTGCGTCTCCCTCCCACCCTCCCTATTCCACCCCTCTAGGTGGTCACAAAGCACCGTGCTGATCTCCCTGTGCTTCTCTGCATAAGCTTTTAAGTTTGAGTAGGTTCCATTTATTTATTTTGCTTTTACTTCCCTTGCCTGAGGAGACAGTTCCAATAAAATATTGCTAAGACCTATAGATCATATTCCATTTTTTTTCTTTCACTATTTACTTTTAAAATTTATTTTTTCATACAGTTTCAAAACCAGATGGGATAAAACCATGTAGATAAACCTTGCGTTTTACAGATTAGGAGATGGTGAAGACCAAAGAGGTGAAGTAACTTGCCCAAAGTTGTGAATGTTACTGGCAGCCTATAATGGCACATTATACAGAAAAAAAAGCTCCCACTGTGTGTAAAGTATCATGCTTTTCAAAATGTTATATCCATGCTTTTAAATGGTAACCTATAATCTCTGCACTTTGAATTTGTATCAGTCATAGTATTCTTTAATTTATTTAATATTCTTTAATAGTTTACACATCTGTTTTCCATGCTAGACCCTTATGCGTCTCAAAAAACAGAGATCATGTATTATATATATGAATATTTCCAATACCTAGAATAGTGGTTTGCTTTGAATGAGTGATAGTGACAGGTGTTTCAGCTGTCAAAGTATGTTTACTCCATATCCTGAGCATGATAAACTATGACTTTTGCAAAGGTAAATTTGTTACTACTATCCGGACTAAAACACAGTTGTAGAATTGACCAAATTTATCTTTAGTGTCTTCCGAAGAGTCAGTCTCTACTGCTTATACCTTACCTCAACTCCTAGGTTGCTTGCTTTCTTACCCTTATGGAGAGCTACCATTTCCAGTATCCGCTCACAACTCTTTGACAAAACAAGGGTTAAGCTGGTGTTCAACCACACAGCTCCCTTCCTCTTAGGGCCACTGCATTATTTTCACTCAACTGACTAATAGCAGAGAGTAATTGAGTGTACTTTGTGGCTCCAAAAATAAAGGTGGGTATTTTGTAGGAAACATTTTCTCTGAAAATGTCAGTGAATGAATGACTTGTAAACAAGCCGACTACTGTGAAATCACCTATCATGAAGTTTATGACATGGAAATTATGCTTTTTTTTACTCATAGAAAGCAAAGCTCTGAATATGCAGAGCTTTGGTTCTGGCTTCCAGTTCAGGAACTTTGTGCAAAGCTTTATGTCAAACAGCCAAGGCCCCCAAGAAAGATGTTGCCTTGTTAGTTCTTCATTAATTTGATGAGAATTAATGGTGAAAATCCAAGTCATTTATGTTAGTCAATAACTTTGACCAGAATGTCTTGACCACAGGTCAGTAACCTGGTTGTGTTTATAGGATAGGGTTTAAACCATCATTTTGGAGGATTAATGAGTTGCTTACTGATTATGAAAATCCCTTCTCTTTATTGTAACCCATAGTTTGGTGTGAAACAATTAGTTTTGGGGAGGCCAGATGCTGGTGTTCAGCGTTTCACTGATGTACCCCGCCTCATACGTCATGTGGCAGTTGGTAATGCTTCTGTTGATAGCATCAGGCTGAGTGCCTAGTAAATCATGAGTCTTATCCAGGAGTTAATACTGCCTGCTAGAGAACTGAAGCAGAGCCCATCCAAGGCTAATATACCGTAGTGTCCTGTTCATTCACTCTCAGTTGTTTATCCTGTCTTTATAAACATTATCACAAGCAGCAACCTGATTAACATGTTTTTTTCTGTATGTGCTAATTAATAGATGCTATTATGAAGGAAGATATTTCTGAAATAAATATTTGAATTCATTAAAAGCGAGGATAGTTTCAAGTCCAAAAAATTGGGGGAGCATGTTATCTCTGTCATATTTGTCATATGTGGTCTTTTCATCTTAAGGGTTATAGCAATCAAAAAACCTAACTAGTTTTGATTCTTTATTTAGCGAAACTCTTAGATATTTGAAAACAACAGCTGTTGTGCTTAAATATTGTATGTCAGAATTTTTTTTAAAATGATAGAAAAGTGTGTTTTGAACTTATTTATTTCTGTATGGAATTTGGAAACATGGAGGTTAGGGTTGTGTGAGGGGTGGGGGAATGAGCTTCAAAAGAAAGTCTTTGAAAAGTAATAAATATTATTAAATGTAAAAACTGTAAATGACATATAGCTTCCTCTGATTTATGCATCCTCTCCCCACCTTCAAAGAAAATGAATCACTCCTTCTTTGTTCCCACAACATATTTTTAAGTCCACTAGTAAAGCACTTATCTGGTATGACAACTAGCTGTGTACATGTTCTCTTCCCATTAGGTCCATAGCAACTTATGAACAAATCCTGTGTAATTCATCATTTGTTCCTAGTGTAGAGCAACTGGCACATAGTAGATCCTCAGTAATGTTTGTAAAAAGAAATTGAATTGGTACCTTGGCTGCACTTTAGCATAGAAAAGCCCCCAAATTCTTAGTTGCCCTCTGAAATATTGGGCGTTATATATATTATGTGTAATTGTGATATCAAAAATAGAACCCACAGCTTCTCTGAGAGGTTCAGTAGGCATGTCTATTTCAGTAATTAAATAGAATTATAGAGAACAATGTTTCTTGGATCTTTGTTCATTTTCTTTACTTTTATATGCATATATTTTGCTATTTCTTTTGTGACATGTTTAAATTTATGTGTGTATTTCTTTTTCTCCTTTGGTGTTTGTTCCCTTCTATTTTCAGTCATTGAGTAAACTTTCCATTTTTCTTTCTTTTTTTCCTCTTTCTTCTGCATCTTATGTTGTATGGAATTGACAGCATATTGTCAGGGCAGAAATAGTGAAGTACCCGGAAGAAGATAATCAACATACCAACTCTGCTCAGAGTAGAATCTGTTCAGTACAGTAGTGCAGGTATTAATTGATAAACTGTTGCAGTTTGGGGGAGGAGGGTGGGGAGAACTAGTGAATGCTGTCTTGTTCTTTATTCTTTAGGAATAGAGAAGTTCAAATGATTATTGTACATTACTGGGAATTAATATTGCATAAGTCCTGGTTTAGAACTTTGAAAAATTGATCCTTTGCTGGGAGACTTATGACTTACACAAGGAATTGGGGAAAAATTAAAATAATATTTCAGTTACTTTCAAATGTATTTGTCTTTATGGTTGTGTTTATTACATGTGCAGTGAAGTGGAGAATTGAGGTAGTTATTTCATTATTCATTCCTTACCATTTTTTCCTGAAATAGCCTGGTAATTGAAAGAGTATTTTTAAAATTTGCCTTGAGTTACCCTTCTTTGTCTGCTTGTGTGTGCAGAGTTAGTAAAAGAGTTGAAAACAGTAAAGGATGTGTTTTACTTTAAATAATTACTTAGAGATGAATGTTAGGGCATATTGCTAAATTCATTGTTTAAGATATTCCTTGAAGTGTGTGTTAGAGGGAAGGAAGGAAGAGTTAAAAGTGTCTTTTGGTTTAAATTATTTTAAAAACATGAATATGAGGTAATTTTCTAACTTTCTCATTATTCTATATTTTGTTAGAGTCATTATTCATAACCAATAGTGAGCTATTTGGAAGTAAGTTAGGAATTTGGGAGAACAGTTTTAAAAATTGGGTTGCTTAAAACATTTCTTCTTTATATGTAACTTCTCTGACATTTATATCTCTTCACTAACTCACAGATTGATAAACATTCTTTAAAAAGTTATGACTGGATATAATGATTTATGGAAATATTAATAAATAATAATATTCTTTGAAATGGTGAGATCTTATCTATTAAGATATATAAATGATTAATTTTAATTCCTTTGCTTTAAATTATAACCAGGGCTTAATTTTTCATATTGATTTGCCAATTTTTTATTAGACTTTTGGTAACCTCAAGTTATTATTGTCATAAAACCAGAGAAGACTCAGTAAAAGAAATGCTATTACATCCTTAACAGAATTACCCCTGCCCCGCTACTCCCTCACCCTCCACCAAAATATATCCCAGCTTGACCTTAGTTGGTCCTGGCTGGTTCTTTTAATATCAGCTCCTGCTTCATTTATGATGTCTATCATCAGGAGTTCACCAAAGTTCAGAAAATAAAAATATACTTTAAGGAGCTCTTTCTAAATGTTCTGATGTCCTGATAATAACTTTGTTTTCTTTTATGACAGAGGGTGGTGAAGGCAGATATTGTAAACTACAACCAGGAACCTATGTCAAGAACTGTTAACCCTCCTAGAAGCTCTGTGTGTGCAGTTCAGTGAGCACATTTTTCTTCTGTATTGATAGTTCTGGCTCCCCTTCGCCTCTGTGTGGGCTCAAGGACCTGTAGAAACTTGTTTTATCAGTGACCATCTCTGTAGTTCAGTTAACGCTTTCCTCTCAACTCGCTTCATCATTGCCTGTTGCCTCAGCCGCAGGCAGCTCCTTGGACTGGAAAAAATTCAACTTTGGGACCACACACTTTGAATTCAAAATGGAAAGCCCGTTCTCTGGAATTAGACTGCTTCATTGAAAAAGAATAATGTTGGTTCTCTTTATGTCCTCACTTCTTTTTTCCCTGATGTAAGTTGTTTTAAACAAATATGAAAACTATCTAAGTCTTGATCATCAGCCAGGATTTTGCCACAGCACAGTTTCATACTCTTATCTGAACTCATACCTGGCGAAGTATGCTTCAGAGTACAAACATTTAAACGAGTAATATATTTTATCTACAGATACTTAAGAAGGCATTCTCTTGCTGTCTATTGTGAGTGAAAATATATAAAGCTGTATCTAACTGAAAATGCTTGAAATAAAGCTATAATAGAAATATTTTTTTCATTTTTTTAAAAAGAGCCTAAATACTTTATATTTTAGCTGTAGCTCACAAAGTAGTGAGTATTGGATATTGTATTTTTATTATTGTATCATGATCATTACGTGTTGTGTAATACTCAGGTTAGATGGCTTTGTGAATTCTGATAAATGTTCAGCTGATGCTCCATGTGGACTTTCTCCTGCCAGCTGTGTAAGAGTACTTCCAGAATGAATTATGACTATTGTTGGATCATCGTGGATCAGACTGTACCTGATGTTCAGATGTTTTTCTCCTGCAAATAAATTTATTTAAATTACTTTGGGGGGAGAATTTTCTTTCAGCCATCTTCCCTTTAGTTACAGAAAAACAAAGTGTTTTTGGATACAAATCAGTGATCATGTGAAGTTTAATAAACATTCAGTCACGTAGAGTTGTTAGGGTATTTGTTGGACTAGTTAAAATCAGACCCCATAGACTGGCATTTCAGGAGCTCCATATCAGCTGCATCCTACCCGCCTACCTTTTCTCATGCTGCTCTTCTGTGTACTGCCTGCCTCTGTGCCAGTGGAACCACGGCTCACTCCTGTGTGACTGATGCTTTCTGATGCTCTGCCTTCCTGTCTTTGCTGCACAGGTCCTTCTGCCTGGAATTCCTTCCCTCTCTCTAAATGTCTGCCTTCTTTCAGTCAGCCTTTAGACACCATGAGGGCAGGGCTCTCTCTGTCTTGGTAACAGTTGTGTTGCGTTTTTTGTGTGCAGGCACAGTGCCAGGCTGGCATATGGGTGCTCTGTATTGGCCACATCGAAACGGGATGAATGCTTCTCCTCTGCAAAACCACTCCTGTCTCCACAGCTGCAAATTCCACGTGAGCACCTCTTGGATGGCCATTACACCTTCCAGCCTTGCATCACAGTTATTTGTGTCTTTGTGTTTTATTGTTCATAGACCATGAGCTTATTGAAGGACAGTCCTGGGTCTCTATTTTCTCATGTCCTTCAGGAGTGCCTATCAGGGTGCGTTCCTCATAGGAGCCTTGCCAGAGGTGTGTGTAGAAATTTTGGACATTTAATCTTACAGCCATAAGGGATTTTAGAAAACTTGTTATTTCACATCTTGTGTGGCTAAGGAAACCGAAGTCTGGAGGGAAAAAGGAACTTGCCAGAGGTGGGAAAGCCCCTGGTAGTTCTGGTGCTGGATGAGCAGGACTGCTTCTGGCTCTCCCTGCTGTCCCAGGACCTGGGCAGGGGCAGGCAGGGCCGTGAGCTGCTCTGGTATAATCATATTAAAAAAAAAAAAAAGAGAGAAAAAAAGGAACTGGCAAGAGGTCATGGTAGACCCCATAGGAGGTAGACCCCATAGGAGATCTTCTGTCCCTCAGCCAGGGTGACACTTTTTCAAGAGTGGTTTGAAATTTAAAAACTGTGGGGCTTCCCTGGTGGCGCAGTGGTTGAGAGTCCGCCTGCCGATGCAGGGGACACAGGTTTGTGCCCCGGTCCGGGAAGATCCCACATGCCGCGGAGTGGCTGGGCCTGTGAGCCATGGCCGCTGAGCCTGCGCATCCGGAGCCCGTGCTCCGCAACGGGAGAGGCCACAGCAGTGAGAGGCCCGTGTACTGAAAAAAAAAAAAAAAGAAAAAAATCGTGACTGCTGTACTTGTTAGACATTGAGTCCAGTCTTTCATTACTTTGATTTCTGTATTTTTCATTTTATAGCAACTAAGCAGCCTTTTTAAGCCTTTCAAGGTGGCATGCCCTTCAAGATAGTTCAGTTTATCCTTCCTTTCAACATCTTTCTAATATATGCTGGTCAGTCTGCTAGGGCCTTTAGCAGAATATAAAGTTGAGTAAAAGATTTCAACCCTCAAGGACCCTACAGTCTAGTGGGAGAGATGTTTGTTATTGTTGCTGCTGTTTTAAAGCTGTGACTGATTGAAGTCTACTACTGGACTAAACTTACCCAAGGCTTTACATTCAGTAAGGGGTGAGGCCATGCCCTTTTGATCATTTCATGTCATTTATATATGTATGTGAAAATTTGAAGAGTTTTCAAAAGTTCTTTTTTTTCAGTCCCAATTATTGCAGTACTAAAAGGTATAACTTAACACATATGTATGATTGTACAGGCATCTGGAGAAGGCTGAGAGAAATTATATAGGGTCTATGATCAGACCAAAATACTTTAGTTATGTGTTTATAAAATCAGAGCACCGAATGGGCCTGAACGGGGCAGGCAAGAGAATGGCCTTTGTGGGCTTGCTCTGTCCGGGACATTTCCAGGCCCTTATCACATGAGCTATTATATTTTCACCCCGATCTATGAGAAGGTTATCACTGTTCCTGTCATGCACATGAGGACATTGAAGTGGGGAGTGAGTGATTACACCAAGTCCCTCTTCGAGTAAGTGGTAAAGCCAGGGTCCACACAAACCATTTCTGAGATGGGATGGCCTAGGCTGGGTACCGAATTAGGTTGCCTTCCATTTGTGAAGATCACAACTGACCTTCCTGGGGGTTGACCAGGCCTGGGTGTTATGTTGTTCTTTTGAGAAGTGGTGATGGCCAGTGCTGGCCATCACCACTTTCTCACACCGACCATCTAGACCAGCAAGCTGTGTGTCCAGAGAGGCTAGTGGTTGTAAATTTGCCCTCTGATCGCTGAGGTAAGGACAGAAAAATACCTCCCCTGCCTTTGGTCTCATTGGTTTTATGTCTCTCCCCTCTAAGCTTGACCAGTCATTGAGAACCTTTGGCTCAAGGAAAGCAAGCACAGTGAACATGCAATAGAGCATATGGCCAAAGCAGATTTCTGAATTCCATATTACAATTTTCCCCATACCTCGGGTTTTATTTTTGAAACAAAAACGTAGGATTCATGCTTATTTTACTTTGACTGTTACCTCTCCTGTCTACAGTTTTTAATTTAAAAAATTACAAGTCTTTCCATCTAGTTTTAGGCACTTTGTCTCCTGAAGACGCATGCTATAAAGTTTCAAACACATTGTGGTCACTTCTGCTTATTGAACTTTTGAAAACACAAAAGTTTTCAGCCAGAACTGGTCATTGGATGCTGCCTTTCAAATGCACCCTCTATTATGTGTGGCAAACCACTCTGGAGTGGTTTTTGGAGTGGCCCAAAGAACTCCTCCTGTGACTGCTTTATTATTCCAGGAGGAGGTAAGCCAGGGCCCTTTAAAGTCGATCACTGAAACAATGTGATGGGGCATAATAATTTGTGTGCCGTTTAAAAATAGAAAAGTTTTCTGGCCATAACCCATTCTGGTGATTGCTATAATGTTGGACATCCTGAAAAACAGTCGCAAGATTCAGAGGAAATGGAAATGCAGACCTATTGAGCATTGTGGCAGACATCTGTCGGCCTCCTCTCCAACATCATGTCACCACTTCTCCCAGCAACAGTTTCCTGATTTCCTGATGGAGCCCTCCTCCATTTTCAGCCTCTCACGGCTCTAGGGGTAGATTCTCATTGGCTTAAACCTATTAGGATATTAATTCCTCTTGGCCTCAGGGATTGGCTCAGAAGTGAGTGGTTAATTCCATCCGAGCTAATGAAACTGGAGGGTACATTTGCTGAGGTTTCTGAAAAAGAAAAGAGAAAAGAAGAAAGCTCCCACCCCCTCAAGTTTCCAAATGACTCTTTGCCCGCTGAACTAGGTTGAGAAGGCTGTAGCTCTGAGCAACACTGGCAGCCGTCTTGAGGACACAAAGGGCGACCCTGCCCAAGTACAGAGCTGACCCCGAGGGAGCAGAGGTGAGAAGTGGGGAGAATCCCAGTCTCCGACACTGAGCCCCAGATCACGCCACGCCATGAATCGTTTTAACAGCGTGACTCAGTTTCCTTTATCATTTTGGCAAGTGTTAGTTTATTTTTTTGTTACTTCTTACATAAGCAACTGTCATGTATCAGGGCCTTTGCTTGGCATCAAAGAGATGAATGTGATCTGTGTTTTATCCTTAAAATCTTAGTCTAGGTACATGTATAACTCATCAAACAGAGTTACCAGACTCTGTAATCAGACTGTTAAATGCTTCAATAAAACCCTAATATTGTATAGGAAGATGTGGCTTAGCAGTGAGTGAAAAAACAGGGATTTCAGATAACAGGAATCAGCGTCAACAATATAATTGCCTCTTAAAAGACTGACTCGTAATCTTAGGCTATGTTAATACCAAAAGATTCTCTGTTCTCTGAGTTGTTTTGTGTATAGGAATCACCTGGAGAATCTTGATTTAGTAGCTCTAGGGTGGGGTTTGAGGCTCTGCATTTATTTTATTTATTTATTTATTTATTTATTTTTTGGCGGTATGCGGGCCTCTCACTGTTGTGGCCTCTCCCGTTGCGGAGCACAGGCTCCGGACGCGCAGGCTCAGCGGCCATGGCTCACGGGCCCAGCCGCTCCGCGGCATGTGGGATCTTCCCGGACCGGAGCACGAACCCGTGTCCCCTGCATCGGCAGGGGGACTCTCAACCACTGCGCCACCAGGAAAGCCTGAGGCTCTGCATTTATAACAAGCTACCAAGTGATACTAATGCTGCTGGCTTTTGGATTACACTTTGAATTAGAAGAGATTAGACCATGCCTGCATTATCTTTCCTCTTATGGGTGCCCCTCTTTAAGAGGGCACGTTCTGATTATGGTGAGGGGATCCAGTGTCATAAGAAATAGTTGAAGGAAGGCAGTATGCTTAAGATGGAAAAGGGAGGGCCTGAGAGATACTCTGTTGGTCATCTCCAAATAGGTGAAAGACCACGCTTTAGAAAAAGGTAACTTCCAATATAGAACCTATAGAACTCCAGAAATAGGAGGGATAGATAGAAGCTATAGAAAGAAGATTTTGATCCAGCCCAAGAAAGAACCTTGCAAACCCCTGCTTTATGCTTTATGAAGTGTTGGGTCATGTTGCAGGGTTGCAAACTCATATGGCATCAGGGGCTAGGTAGGTAAATGAATGACTACAAAGCAGTTAAAGAGCATAAGACAGTAGGGGGTGGGCAGTGATTTGGAGAGCATGTGCCTGTCTAAAGCCATTCCAATCCAAGTTTTAAAGTTATATTGGCCAAATAAAATCTGTATGGATAAGGCTACTGCTAAGCCCTATATTAGAATCGTTGTGCCAATTAGATAAAAAAAAAAACACGTTCCTTTCTCACATTGCTTTATTTCCCTCTTCTAGAAAATTGTCACACTGTTTTGTTAGAGCCGGTCACTTAATTATCCTGGAAAATGGATGATTGAATCTATAAGACCTGTGATATGAATGGCAACCCTATTGATGGGATGAATTCAGCGCTTTAGAT